AATCCAACACAGAAAAACATCCATGAAATGTTTCTAATAATGTTGTCCATCAATTCAGAGAAACGCAGTTAGGTCTGTTTAGCCTAGCTGCATTCTCTTTTGTCTTCCGAGAGGAAAAGAGCTAGAGGTCACGAGGGGCCTGAAGGTGCTTCTGCTTTGCCTTTTTTTGTGGGGTCCATAACAGTTCCTTCATACGCGACCTTGTTTTTGATGCCTTCCTGTATCAGCCTCTGCTGCACACGGAGCTTAGCATTGTTCATCCTGCAATAAAACCTTAACAGTGGGAAGAAACAGGAGCATTCCAGTTACACAACAAAGTAGTAAACAAGCTAGACAGGCGAGAAAGAGCCAAAACAGAAATGTTTATTCTGACTAAAACGTGAAAGGCACTGAAGAAAAATTGTGTCCTTAAGACCTACCAGGACCCGAGTGTGGTGACCATAAAACCCGCAAATCCCACATCAAAAGACCTCTTCACCCGACCTGAGGAAAACAAGAAAACGAGTCAGATAACTATAAGACGAACTGGAATAACTTTTGTTTACTTGCATTTCTGTTTAAAGGGACTACCATAAAATGTGTATTAAGGTTTGGATACATCAAGAGGTTTTGGCTTTGCATGATGAACTGTACAAGAAAATTATAGTAAATTACTCCACATGCGAACCGTGACACACGTCCCCTCTGATGCTGCGTCAGGAAGGGTACTGCATGTTGTGCCAAAAGGTGATTTACGTTATTTGCCAAAAAAATGATTGCCTGTATTTAAACTGTTCTAAGTGACTTGTTGGCCTATAATCCGTGATATGTTTGCCAAATAGATTACTCGTGAAACATATAAAGTCATTTTGAGTCGCAAACAGCATCCCTCTCACAAGGTGGAAGCTGCGATCAGATTTTGGCAAAGTGATTATTAGATTTTCTGTTTTTATCCAGATAAAGTCACATTGTTATCAAAAAGTATTTTTTAAAGTACTGTATTGATTATAATGTAGATACAGTAATGCAGCGTCATAAAAATAATTACAAAACACATCCTTTCTTTATTTTGTGCATATCCCCTTTATAAACCCTGTTGACTACAGTTACCTGCTGTAGCGACCTCTTGTGGCAAGGGAGCATCCAAAAGTAACTGTACTTTAACATTTGAGTGACAGTAATAAAAACAATCAAGCAGTAAATTCAGAGACATTTCAGACTCAAGACTCACTAGTAGCCAGAAAATAAAGCAGCCCAGCAGCTACTGAGCCTCCAGCTCCATGCAGGATGGCCTCCCTGGCACAAGGAGTGTTCTGGACATCCAGGATCCCCAGCAGCCTCAGACCCTGAAGAACAGACAGTAAAGACATACACGTTGATCTTAATTCCTTCCAAAAACGAATTCCATCTTTGTCTATAAATGCTTTACAATGTTGTGTGAACACTGTGTTTGTCAGTTAGGAAATAATCAGATGTTCATGGTGACCAACGGGCACCTACAACATTTTCCCCACACTGGGTAGAAATCCATTGATGCCAAAAAGAATATCTTTACAGTTTATTGCACGTTAATGTTTTCCAGTACTCACAGTCACACCACTCACAGTCCATTGTTTTTTATTCATTTAAATGTGTTGCTGTGAACACAGACAGGCGTTTTACAGAAATATTGAATAATAGGGTCAATAATCCGTAAGCCGAAGTTTTCGGATTGCCATACTGTTTAAGAAAATCGTTGCCTCACTAACAGGGATGCTGGTTTCATGTCTGCTACTTAAAGTTAATCTTTAAGCACCAAATTTCCAAATCGGGTCTTGTCTGAAGCGTCTTGTCTCACGAAGGTTATGTATCATCCAGCTGTCCTCTTTAACTGCTGCTTAATTTAAACGTTCGGCCTGTTGTCATTACTCGAATTGAGCTCTTTGTTAACTTATATTTTCCTCATTTTCTCCTACAGTTCAAATTAAACAAGCTAAATCAAATCGGCTGATGTTGACCTTCTGCAAACACCAATGCGTTTCCGCCGCGATTCCATCGAGTCCCTTCGAGTTCTCACCTTGGTCTGAGTCTCCCTATCTTCTCCTGCCATATAGCCGCCGTATTTGTGTCCTTCTTCAACGTGCAAGTTCAATTTATATTAAAAACATATAATCACTTTCGTAACATCATTGCCTCTATACGCATGCGTCGTACCTGTCGAATGGTCCGTTCCCTATAAGTCGCCGACTCAAACGTACTAAAGATGTGTGGTTCCGGCGTCTGCAAAAATGATTTCCTGTTGTTTTTCTGTGTTTTTCACGTCTAATATCGCTACTTAGTAGTGAACAGGATTTATAAAGGGGTTAGATATAAAACGTCAGTAATGACATGTTTAGCAAGTATCTTTATGACTCTTCATTACTGTGCCTACATTGTAATCAACCCAGGCCTTTTCGGTCACTTAAAATATGAACTGTGATGTTATTTGTTTTATTTATTTATTTATTTTCTACTATTTCTGTTGCCCTCTTTGCCAATTTTTTGAATTTTTTTCCCATGATAAATGAAAGATATATAAAACTGACTGACAAAAAATGATTGCAGTAGTGTTTACTACAGGCTATTTGCCAATATAAGCAGAGATATATATAAAAAAAAAAACTAAAAAAATAAATAAACAGAGAACATTGACATTTGCAATCACTTTTCAGTGAAAATAAATTTCTGGGGGTAATAATAGATGAAAAACTTAACTGGAGAGCTCACGTAAGATATATTCATTCCAAAGTATCACGAAGCATTGCAGTACTAAACAAGGCAAAACAGGTATTCGACAGAACATCACTTCATATTCTCTACTGTTCACTGGTTTCACCATACTTAAGCTATTGTGCAGAGGTCTGGGGCAATAACTATAAAACCACATTACATTCACTTTTTACTCTTCAAAAGAAAGCAATTCGAATCATCCACAATGCAGGTTATAGGGAACATACAAACTCACTATTTTTGCAGTCTGAAATATTGAAAATTGACGATATAGTGAAATTCCAAACAGCACAAATTCTATTCAAAGCAAAAAATAAAGAACTGCCAGGTAATATTCAGAGTATGTTTTTTTTTGAAAGAAGGAAGTTATAATTTAAGGGGTTTTTGTAACTTCAAAACAATGAAGGTACGTACTACAAGAAAAGGCTTTTGTGTTTCTGTTCAAGGAGTGAAACTATGGAACAAACTGAATATGGAATTAAAGCAATGTCCAAACATAAAACTGTTCAAAAAGAGTTATAAAAATATGATCTTCTCGATCTATAAAGAAAAGGAAAATATTTAAATTAAGTGAATGTCTCTATTTAAAAACAAACAAACAAAAAATTCATGATGTGATATTATAGTATATAGTATATCAGAAATCTGTTCACTATTTTTATTACAAATTATATCAGTAAGGAAGCTGACTAAATATTCACTGATAATTTATGGGACAGGGGTGGGATTAAATAAGTGTATACTTCTTCCCACTCCCTTTCAACATGTAAATTAATCAGAATGTTTTTTTGTATGTAATTTGTATAGTATATTTTTTTTCTCTCATTTCTTTTCTAAATGTACTTGTATATTGTTCACATGTTGAAATAAATTACCAATCAATCAAAAAAAGCTTGTAGATGTGCCTATTTGCTTTAAGGAAAAAAAAACTCCAGTAAACTGGTTGAAGACAATGTGTTCTAAATACAGACTGTGCTGCCTTGTTTTATGTGTTATAGAAAATGGATACAGTAAATAAATGGTTAATTAGTTAAATGAAAAAGAAACTGAAGTCACACTGCTGTGTCATCCTAACCTATCACAAACATTAATCCTGACGGGAATTATGTGACAGGGTAAACGTTTCCATTAAACAACATCAAACAGGAAGCCTGCATGTCACAATGATCCCCCATTTAAAAACAAGGTTATTTCACTACATCCGCAACAGATTAGCAGTCATCCTGTTTTGTTGGTAATTATTATTATTACATCACTTTAGGAGTCTGATTGAATATCACAAAAATGAAAGAGGAAGATTAAAGACTTGAGCACTGTACCTATAACAGGGGGAGTGACTAGAAAGAAGAGGTGTAGACTAATAAACAGTGTAAAACATTGTTTAAAGTTTGTGTCAAATATATTATAAAAGTTATTTGAACAGATTTTTAAGCATTCTCTGAACCGACTTTTATTTTTAATAGTTAAAGCGAAGACTGCATGTTTAGAACTGGGTGAAAACCATTTACATTTTTGGTGCTTCTGTGTCAAAAAAGGTTTTAAAAATAAATTTTCCTCTTAAAATTATATTTCTGCCAGCTTGTGAGTAAAAAAAAAAAGGTTTAAATGTTTTATCCTTCTAATAAAAACAGGTAGTAGGGATTAACACTGATATCCTATACGAGTTTGTTTGGTACTAGATACTTGACTCCTGTGTCCTTTATAAAGCTGGGCAGCTTACCTCCAGACACTGCCTGCAGCCACCGGAGAGGTAAGACATGCTGCTCTTACTAGCAGACAGATGATTTATATGAATGCTGTTTAAATGTGGAGGGCTATATAGATATTTACATATCTATATTATTAGCTTTAAAACTTTATTCTGTATTCCAGCTCCAGTATTATAAACACGGAGCTCAAGAAATTGAAATTGTTAATAGAAAAGCTGGTGTTTTTGCAGTATATGCTGACCTAATTAATAGATATTAGATGAGTTATTAATGATTTATGTGCATATATTTTATGTTTTACTTATGTATAGATATGTTAGTGACACAGATTTACACCAGGGATAGTGGTGTAACACCCAATTAAAGGCTTATTCTTTATTTAATCTGAAACATGAACACAATAAGGGGACAATACCTTTTAATTTTCTCACTGAAACTAGAATTACACCCAATATAGTCTAAAAATTATTTTGTACAATGCCCCCCATCATTATGTTTGCTAGCTGAAAAGTCTTAAGGAATAATTAACTAAGTGACTAACTAATGCAACTTGACGCCTACAGAATGATGGCACAGATTAGCAGAATGCTCCTTGCACTGATGTTGAGTTTGTTTGTTGGAGCTTCAACTTTCATCTTATCTCCTGCAGGTAAGAGAACTGTATGATTATTGTAGGAAGCTTATATTGATCTAAGATGTTATTGGAAATATTGTGAAAAAGGCGGAGGATTCTCTCATTCTTATATTAAAAATGCTGATAACATATATTTATATGTGTGCAAGGCTTTTATAAAGGAAATGTATAATAATAGAAAACAAACAAACAAAAATATAGAATTAATGGTTGTGTTCCAGTTGTGTTGTTCCAGTTTTGTACATAAAAACAAATTTAAAAGCTACATGACATCCTGTATTACCACAAACATCACAAACACCAAAATCTGTAACAAGTTTTAGGCTTTTATTTTTGGAACCAAATAAAAACTTATTCCACCATCAGCGGCCTTCCAGCTGCCGCCCTGTCAGCTCATCAACCAGACAGTGTCTCTGGAGAAGGAGGGCTGTCCCAGCTGTCATCCAGTGGAGACAACCATCTGCAGTGGACACTGCATCACCAAGGTAATGTGGTTCATGAGTGTAAAGGAGAGAAATATAAACCAAAAAGAATTTCAAAGCTGCAAAAATCAGGAGATAAAAACAAATCATTTGGAGGCCCAAAACCAAAAAATAATACAATCAGGGCTTATTTGATTCTTTACAAAAACATATGAGGTAACACTTTATACCCCGACCTGCAAATAAGGCACAAGTGTTCTGTACTTATGTGCATCTTGAAGGCAACAAGTCAGGTTTTTGCAAGAAACAATGAAACATGTACACTGTAAGTACCCCGCACTTGCCTACAAATTGCAAGTGTAGGGTACTTGCACCGTAGTCACTCCATAACATAACGTGCACCCCAGAAAGTACAGGGTACTTACAAGTGTTACCACATATTAATATCAGACTCTTTTCTTTTTTCTACATTTTCAGCTGCTGGTTACAGACACCACCTATACTGACTGGTGTTACAGTCCACATGCTATGCACTGACACACATTATGCAAAACTTCCACTTCATGCGTATACAAATTGGGAAAATATTCTGAGCAAGTCAGTCATGGTGCCTCTAAAGCTTATCAGTCAGCAAAAACTAATACCTGTATAACTGCATAATCTGTGGTTTAAAAAAATACGTGCTATTAAGAATGTGTTAGCTGCCGCTTCAAGCTATTTTCAATTTCAATTGATGTGTCTGTGGATTTTATTGTGGTGAAATCAGGAAGGTTAAGTTTAAGTACTCCTGAAGTCACAAACATGCTGCCAGCTGCTGTTTGCAGTAAAGTCAAGCTGTGTGTCTAGTATATTTACCATGTGACTCCAGACCTTTATTATAAACATGTAAGTGACTAAACTGGGAAGAAAGTCAGTGCATTTCACCTGTATCTGTGTCACAGATACTAAAAACTTTCTGGTTTCTCAGCAAAAGTAAAGGAATATATTAAATTTCAATTCTATTTAATTTATATAGCAACAAATCACAAGAAACAGTCACCCCAAGGTGCTTTATATAATAAGGCAAAAACCCCAATAATAATACAGACAAAATTCCACCAATTAGATGACCCCCCCTTAGAGCAAGCACTTAGTGACAGTGGGGAGAAAGAACTCCCTTTTAACAGGAATAAAACTCCAGGAGTTCCAGGCTCAGGGAGGGACAGCGATCTGCTGTGACTGGTTTGGGGTGAGGGGAGGAAGACAGGAAAAAAGACACACTGTGGAAAAGAGCCAAAGATTAATAATAAATAATGATTAAAAGCAGAGTGGAGCATAAGAAAATAAATCCAATAAAACCACATCATGGGAAGCCTCTCTGGCAGGCTAGACCTATTGTAGTGTAACTAAGGAAGGATTCAGTCACCTGATCCAGCCCAACTATATGCTTTATGAAAAGAAAAAACCCAAAAGGTTTAAGCCTTAAAAGTAGAGAGTGTGTCTGACTCTGGTTGCACAGAAGAGGGCCCCGAAAGCTGAAGGCTCTGCCTCCCTTTCTACTTTTAAAAATCCCTCAGAACCAAAAGTAAATTTTATGACTTTATGGTGTACATTTGTGAGTTATACCAGGGAGTCCATTGGTTCTAAATTTGAGGAGCACATGCAGACTTGAACGCACCGAAGATGTAACACTATTAACAAGATAATCAACCTCTGTGGGAGTAGCGTTTAGGTAGCTCCCCTGCACTGTGTTGGCACATGGTTCATTGAAAGCATCAACTTTCCCTCACTGTGATGCACAACAGTTTAACAGTAAGACTTTATGCCTAAAACCAGGACTTTGAAACTTCATTTAACATTTTAGGTGAATTTCTTGTTTAAAAACAGTTGTCTGTGAAGGTTCTCAGTCATCCAGGTCATCGTAGTCAAAGGAGCTTGCAAAAGAAAAGCTTTAACTTTAACTTCTTTAACTTAAAGAAGTCCAGACGCTTTTCTTTTGCAAGCTCCTTTAAAAACAGTTGCTTCTGTAGTGTTATAACAACATTTTTGTAAGGACACTGTTTTCATTTCCCCTCCCTTTAGGACCCTGTCATCAAGATACCATTCAGCAATGTGTACCAGCATGTGTGCACATACCGGGACCTGTACTATAAAACATTTGAGCTTCCTGACTGCCCACCTGGTGTAGACCCGATCGTCACCTACCCTGTGGCTTTGAATTGCCACTGCGGTCGCTGTGCCATGGACACATCTGACTGCACCTTTGAGAGCCTGCAACCTGACTTCTGCATGAATGACATCCCTTTCTACTATTAAAAGAAGCTCAATCATATTTAAACACATTATACAGAGTATTGTTTAGAATCAACCAGTAAAATATGTTTCTGCTATCGAAATAAACACATGATGAATATTTCTCTCAAACAGTGTCTTAAAAAAAGATAAAAGGTAACTGACGCCTGACATCTGAAAATTGACTCCACAGCTGGAGTAACTTTAACGTTCCTCATATCTTAAGGCCAGCAGACATTCAAAATGACATCTGTGTAAAATTTACATGGAAAAAAGTTCTTTCTGTAAAGTGATATATAACCCAATTCAACAGTTTATGAAGAATTTATGTCCCATTGCTAGTTTCAAGTCTTACTGATGTGACATGATGCATTCACTTCATAAACTGTGGATCCGATTACAGTCAGCCTTAGTAACTCTAATTTGTGACTCTAATTGAATTTTATCTACTTTAATTGGACATTAAAGTAGGCGAGAAAACTACATTGAAGACGGTTGAGCTGGCTCACAGTAAATGATGTGATGTGCACATTTAAACACAAGATCCAGAAGTCCATTCCAAAAGGTTTGTCTGTGTCAATTAATCAGGATTTGGTGTTCTTAATGGATGGATGATTAAGTGGATGGGTGGTGCACCATGTACATCTACTTGTATGGTCTTTGCCTGTAAGAGCTCCGTTGCCTGCTTATATTGCTTTGAGTAATCACACTTTCATATCTGAAGATAAGGGTATCAACTTGACAAAAATGTTCAATGTGTATTTTTCTTCCTGCGGGTTGTTTTGTGATTACAGTGAATAGAAGTGGCTCAGGTGACTCACCAAGAGACGTTATAATGCCCATCCCAGTGTTGTCCTTACTGTGGCAGTAAGGACAACGCTGTGCTCTCTTAGTTCCATGCTGAAGCTTTTCTCTAGGTCTGAGAAGGACCTAGAGTCAGATCCAATGCAGATGTGTGGTTTTACTTTGGAGAAGCACTTTAGTTAGGGGACTGTGCAAATGGGGGTAGCATTACTTAAATTTATCCAGATAACTCTGTGCAGCAACATTAATTAAGTCAGAGGTGAATGTACTGTCAATTGAAACCCCAGAGTCTTTTTTTAAACTTAGTTCTTTGTCCTCTCTCTGCTGGTAAAGATGTCGAAAGGCCACAGAATGCTAGATAAAGCTAGATAAAATGCATCATCCTTCATCAAAGATGAATTGGTCCAAATGCTCATTTTGTGGTTTCAGAAATGGGATTTCACAAACCAGTGGACAACATCATGCTGACTATGTCCATGTTTTATAAACAGCCTATGACCATGTCATGGAAAAAGGTGAGTAGTGTTAAAGAACAGAAGCAATAATAAGACAAAAGAATTAACAAACACTTTTTTGTACCAAAGCTATAATATGTTGTTAAACTTCTAGTTTTATTACAAGCATTTATCTCAAGCTAAACAGTGGTGTCTAAAGAGAAAATGTATATTCCTTGACTGGTTGGTGAGTGGTTGCTAGCTGTTGATAAAAATGGTTGCTAAGAGGATTTTGGACAAAAAACCTTGTTATTGCTTGGCTTGCCAGCAGATTGCCACTGATTGTCTCTTGTAATTTAGATAAAAGTATCCAACTTTTCTGCAAACACTCTCCAACAAGTCACAAAGTGGCAGTGAAAGTTGAAAAAGTTTATGTAAACTGGAAATGAAGACCGTTCACTGGTACTGCAGTGATTTCCAGGTTACATTACATTTTTCATATTTTTATCAGTTTTTTTGGTAATTGGCAAGTATTTGCAAAGAAGTTACTTTTTTCCATGCTTCCACTTTTTCCCCTATGGGCAACAATCTGCCTGCAATTACAGCAATCACAAGGAGGCTTTAAATGAAGCATATCCTTCTGTGCCCTACAGTATTTCACGTAGCAACCTCCAGGAACCACTCACCAACTGATTTGGGAATACACATTTTTCTTCATGAGCTGGGGCTGCCAGAGGATCACTGACTGATGTCTGGGCATGTGATCAAGGCCTTAGTGAGATGTTGAGCCCTCTCATGCTTCCATAACGACTTCAAACAAAATAAAGGGCATTTCATTTACAGGTTCCTATTGTAAATTCCTGTGTTTCAAAATAATTTCAAACGCTATAAATTTAAATGCCAGAATATATTCTACAGACTGGGTTTCAGAAAACACATCAGCTTTATTTTAATAAGGAGAGATCAATCAAAGGAACTGAACATGATTTATTAATGTGCAGAATTCAATTTGAGGTATTTGCCAGTTAGACTCTGATAGTCCATCCTGGCAGAATGGAATCGGAGCAGTGATAGGGATTAGGGCAGGACCCCCCGGAGTCTAGACGCTGGTGGTAGAGATGAAGATGGCGGCTTGAATGGATCACCTATTAGTGAAGAAACGATTTGACTTTTACCAATGGGATCTTAATATCATAGCTGTTAACCTCCCTTGTGGCCATAAAACGTGGAAGCTGCAATGCCCATCATGTTGAAAAGAAAGTTCAAGTTCTCTGTTCAGCTAAAAGAGACTTTTTCACTGGGATGTCAGACCTCAGGATCTTAAGCAGAAAAACAGCCAGTTTTTTATTGATGAAAAATGTATTTCTTTATTTCTTTATGTGAAATAATTATGAAAGATAAGCAGTCAGATCAGGGTGTCGCTTCAGAACGCAACAACTGACAGCACCTTGGGTCATCCCTTTGTCGCTGACAATGTACCACCTGTTGGTCTTTTCATCATAGCACTCCACATTGCAGAATGAGCCGCCATTGTGGAAACCTCCAACCACATACAGCTGGTCCTCCAGCACTGCAATGCCGAAGTTTTTGCGAGGGTGTAACATGGGAGCAACGCTGCGCCAGTGTCTTGTTCTTGGGTCATATGCGATGACACTACGCAACTGAGTGATACCGTTAAAGCCACCAACCTGTGCAGACAAAGGACTTGTTACAGTCTGTAACGTAAAAATGTTCTGTTGTAAAAAAAGTAAATAGGTCTCCAGATTCCAAAATATCTGATTCTAGGGTAATTATAGAAATCACATTCCAATAATCCAGTACATGGTACTTGGAAAATAATACAGACTCCCAAATACAGGTACAGTAAACATTCCATGTTTGAATTTCTGTCCGTAGTAAGAGTATGTTTTAAGCTCTTCTTACTACATAGATTTCGTCATTGTAGGCGACCACGGCTCCCCCAGTCCTCCCGGTTTCCATGGGTGTGATCAGTGTCCACTGGTTGGTGTCAGGGTTGTAGGACTCAGCACATAACAGAGGTTCATCTCCAGTAAGACCACCACAAATGTACACCTAGAAATTAAAATCATGTTTAAGTCAAAATTAATAGAATTAAATTTTCAGCTTCCAGAAAATACTTAAAAACACTAAAAATGTCTGAAGGTTCTCAGTCATCCATGTCATCGTATTCTAAGGAGCTTGGAAAGAAAAGCATCTGGATTTCTTTAAGTTGCTTGAAGATGTTTCACCTCTCATCCGAGAAGCTTCTTCAGTTCTAAGAGTCAAATGGTGGAGAGTCCCAGATTTAAGCCCTGTGGGAGTGTCCCCCCAAAAGAGACAAAGGACCCCCTGATGATCCTCTACCTAATTACATGAGCCAAGGTGTGAAAGAGGGTGTGGGTCACAATCAGCCAGGGTTTCAGGTGAGCTCATTGTGAAACCTGGCCCCACCCTATCATGTGATTTCCTGAGGTCAGATGGCCCAGGATGTGAGTGGGCATTAAGGCGTCTGGGAAACGAACTCAAAACTGGATTATAGATGGCAGACAGTTGGTGTCGTAAACCACCGCCTCTGTTAAAAGATGGTCGCTCACAGTGGTCATAAATGGCTTCTTTCACTCCTCTTTCAAACCATCTGTCCTCTCTGTCCAAAATGTGAACATTGGCATCCTCGAAAGAGTGTCCTTTATCCTTAAGATGCAGATGGACTGCTGAGTCTTGTCCCGTGGAGGTGGCTCTTCTATGTTGTGCCATGCGCTTGTGAAAAACTAAAAATGTTTTCATCAGATTTCTGTGTAGCTACTTTGCATAATAGTAGTAAAAATCTAAAAATGATGGTGTTATCCTAAAACATTTAGTTTTAGCAGAGGTTTGCTGCATTTATTTTCTGTATTTTGCAGACTTGGAAAATATGGATGCAGAAATTGTAAAATTACTATTTTTCACGATCTGAGGGTGAAGTAACCTTAACCTTCTCCCTGAGCTGTTGGATTAATGGTAATAGACATATTTAGTTTTAAAAAATATTATAAAACTGATACAATTCATAAACTATTCATATTTTCCACAGAAAGGTCCAGTGATGATTAAGCCCTCAAGCCGAAAAGTACATTTGCAAATCAGTGCCATGTTAAGCAAAACAAATAAAACAGGAATAAAGAAATTGCCGAGCCATAATATTCTTTTTAAAAAACATATATTTACTGAGATTAAATTAACAAAAAGATCCCAACCAAACCAAGAAAACCAAAACAATCCTTTGCAGGATTGTTATAAGTTTGCAAGAAAAAAAGTACCAACCAAGGAAAGAATGTCTTTCTCAATACTCATGACATTATTCTAAAAAAAAAAAATCATTTTTTAAAAATTACTCCCATTGGCCAGATTTATAAGACTATTAAAAAATGTTTTTTTGCACAGAAGCTCACAGAAAAGTAATATTTTACTGTGCTCTCATGTTCCAGTGCATAAATTCGTTGGTTGGCTGGCTCCAAAAGATAATAAATCCCCATATGTTGTAAATCCAACTACATAGCCTTAAAAATCTTTTTTACAGCCAGACACAAAAGACAAAAAAACAAAAAAAACTAATCCATATGGATAGCGTCCTAGCTAAAATTTGGGTTTGTGACTGCTTTGGGAAGTGTACTGACAGATTAAGGCATTGGCATCTTTTGGTGCATTTCTAATGGAATTATTTGACTGTACATTTTATTGACGCAGCTTGTTAACCAAGGTTGTTAGCATTACCAGTTAACTTTGTCCATCACTTTCTCCACAAAACCAACATGGCAGAGATCTTCCACTACCTCAATTCCACTTACCTTACCGTGTAGTGTTGCAGCACCAGCTTCTGTCCTGGGCTTGTGCATTGATGCAATCATAGTCCACTGGTTGGTGTCAGGCTCATATCGTTCTGCAGTTTTCAGTTTCTTTTGTTTTTGGCACCCTCCCATAGCATATATGCAGCCATTCAGTGTGGCCACACTGAGAAAGCCCCGCTCTTCATGCATCGAGCCCACCTCTGTCCAGGTTTGGCTGGTGAGGCTGAACCTTCTCACATGACTTGAATAGCTTATGAAATCAAAACCTCCGATGCAATAAATACATCCATTGAGGTAAGCACAACCATAGAATCCCAGAGAAGCATTGTGTCTCCAGCTCAGCGGCACCCAGTGGTCAGCTCGGACATTGTACAACTCAATCTTGTCACTTGGGAAATGACTCACCCATCCACCAACGGCCAATAAGACTTCAGACGGCAGGCGTGTTTGGGTCAGAGGTCTCTCCATATTGGACTCATTTAGCATCTGTATGGCAGTGGTTACCATATTCATGCATGCCGGACTACTACTCACCAGATCATTTCTGCTCACAGTGTCAACCAAGTACTCAGTGGGCATTAATAGTAAGCGGACCTGGATGAAAACAAGAATCATAAGGGAAAAAGGCAAGAAATACAACATTAGACTGTATATAAGAGTTGGACGTAGCCACCATGCCACCACACATTAGTGAAGTATAGCACTATCTCTATAATCAAAATGTCATGGAATCACCCAGATAGCTATGGTAGCTCCTGGCATCGCCTCCAATCAGCTGTGGCATTGCCCTTAAAGACCCTAACATTACCTGTAAAGAGCCACAGCATCACCTGCCAAACAGCAATGGCAGGTCATGGCATTAGCTCCAAACAAGCAGGGGTGCCACAGTCAAGTGTCAATGCCATTATCTAAGCACTGAGTAACCTCCTGCTGTAGAAACAGGTCCCACAATGAGGGTGTGTCCTGTTGTAAATGCCTAAGGACCAGTCAGTAAGTTCTGGCAGAACACTATGGGCATAGTCAACTTTTCTGTCAGAAAAGCTAAAGTGCAGTTCAGACAGATTATCAATAATGCACTTCTGAAACTACAAAACAACGGCCAGTTTTATCTGGACGCAAGTGTAAATAATACTTTGACAATTTATTAAGGACTAAATGATGAGCACCTTCTGATGCACACTCCCAAGTGAATTAGAAATAGCCCCCCCCCAATGTGATTAAGAATGAAGAAGAATGATTTTCCTACATTAACTCTATTACCAAGCCTTAAGTTTGAGTAATTTTGCCATTGCAATTTTAGCTTTTTACACGTCAGCCGTAAAAGGCTGATGGGTGAGCAGGTGGGCGGCCTGGACACCCAACTCTGTAAACACAATAGTGTACAATCAAACTTCTTTTTTTGCATCAGGCATCAAGCTTATGCTTTATTTTTTATTCCTAATTCAAAGTGCTACAGCGGAAGTTACTTTCTATACTTTCAAACTTTACCATTCATTCAACAGCCCCTCACTGAGTAATAAACAAAATAAATGCACTTAGAGGAGGAATTAAATTGATATCCCATTTTCAGTTACCTGCTTGAGCAGTGCGGGCATGTCACACCCACGTTCCACAGGGGAATAGTTGATCCATCTGAGAATGGCCTCAAACACAGTGCTCTCCTGCTTCACATTGAGCTCATCCTTCTCGATAAGATCTGATAGTTGCTGCACAGAGAGCTGCAGGAACTCCAAGGAGAGTGCACCAACCTCTTCAAAGTGATGGAGGATATAGAGATAGGCCTTTCCCCTGAGGTCAGGACAGTTGTGTAAGTGTGCCAGATTGCAGATACTGACGCAGTTATTTACACAAAGCTTCCTCTCCAGGAAGTCGCAGCAGGCTTGAATGACGCCAGTCACGATAAAGTTGTCTGCTTCCACCAACAGCTCCAGTACATTGTCCTCCGTCACCACAACAGATTGGGTATAGGCATATTCCAAAATGAGGCTCATTACTTTTGGAGACACAGTGGGGAAGTTGTAGACCTTGTTTGATGGTAGTGGTTTGTAGCAGAAGAGATCCCTGTGCAGATTCAGATCAACATTTTCACATTGTCTCTCTGTCATGGAACTTAAAAAGTACCTGATGTCATGCAGCTCATAGTTAAATAGCATTTGTAGAATTTTTCAGCTGCATGCTTACTTGAGCAAGCTGTGATCAAAGAGATATGAAATTAAAGTAACAAAAATCTAAAATGACTTGATTTCAAATGGGCAGTCTCCTATTTAAGGTCATCTATTCAGACATGTCCAGAAAAACATTCAGCATTGCTGCTATGTTTAGACAGACAGAAGGATATAGAGTTGTCTAGGCATTGTAGCAAATATTCCTATACAGTAACAGGGTTAGGGCGACAGGGGACAGCAGGCATTAAATAGCTGCAAATATAATAACTGAATTTCACATTATCAAATTTACTGACTAGACAGAATTGGAAAGAGCGGACATGTCCCACTGCAACAGAAATGGCATATCATTGGCCACCTCTCAGTCTGGCCCTAAATTGATTACCTGCCTATTTAGACATACAATTTCAGCTAAACTGGTGAAGGCACAGCTAATATCACCACTGATGTGGTCCTTTTGGTGCAGGCCAGTTTGTGAACAACTTTATTAGAACTGCTGCTGCTGTTGTCGTGCTGATGAAATATCATGAGAAAGCCAGTTTATAGTGTCTGTAATCTTTCAAACTACCTCTTACAGGCTCATTGTGGAGTCAAACACAAACCTATACTATATGTGTATCCCAACAAACCTCCCAAAATAAATAACTAAATAAAAATACAGGACTGATTTTTTCCCCCTAAAAATTGCTCCAGAACATTTCTAGTGATCAAAAAGTACAGTGTAACATTGAAACCTCCCAATACCTGCTGCACTGTGTTACATGAAAGCTTTGAAGTAGGATAAATGCAGAACCAAACCACAACCAAACAACACAGGCCTGCTCACCTGAAGTATGCACTGCAGTTGCAGAGGATGATCCTGTGAATTTTAAACTCAACATCTCCAGCTCGGATCACAGAGTCACACAACTGTCCATCCAGAAAAAGCTCACTAAAGACAGTACTACAGGTGCTGTTCATTATTCAGATGTTACTCAAGACGTTTAAACTTCTCAAAAATCTCCTGTTTAGTGTTTTCCTTTAGAGATCTGCCTACACTTTGTAAGGTACTTTGTCTAAATTACCGATTACGTTAACTTATGCTGCCTGGAAAGTGTCACTAGTCTGTTTATATTTGAAAATCATAGTGCTTCATTCTGTTCTTCCGTTAATTAATCGGGGAAAGGATTACAAATAAACCAAATTGTATTACAAAATCACAATTTCTACCTTAGTAAATTCAATTGTATGTATGACATTTTGCAAGCCTTGCATTTTTTAGGAACGTACATAAATATATTTTGCCAAATAAAATATCTATAAAAAATATCAGCGACAAAAACAGATATTAAATAAATGTAGAAGAAAAAATTATATATTTTAACTGAAACGACCATAAAATTGAAAAAAATAAATATTTGCGTAAATTCAAAGCAAATTTCCTTTTTGTATTTTTGCGTTCATGTGGAATGGCTGCTCCGGGACTCCGTAGAGAAGCTGGTGGTTTGTTGACATTTTTCTCCATCAGCTGAGTGGCCAGAAGTTAGCCGTCGAGTTTCCGAGCAGCTCAGAACAAATCAACACCTCAGCTTTATTTTTACCCGCTGACGCTGTCATTCAGCTGTCACAAACCACAAACGCTTCATTCATGTTTTACATAACCAGCGGTGCTACACAGAAAACCAAGGGTTACTGCGACCGTTAGCTACATATAGCTAGTGTTCGGCTGCAGCTAGCCTGGCTACGGAAAAGGCTAGCGACGTTAGCCGATGTGAAACGAAGACATGGAGGGGATACTTTACAAATGGACGAACTACATGACAGGTGAGTCTTTCTAAAAACTGATTTGAACTAGCCGTGTTAGTATTGAATAATGTCAGCCAATTTTATATATGTTACAAGTTTCTAAATTAGCAGGTTAGCTAACAAGCTAATATTAAATTAAAACTGTACATGTTACTGTGCGGCTGCTGTTTTTGGTTGTAAATTAATGTAATGTTGGATTTATTTTGTCAGAATTATGTTGCTAATCAGCGTCATGCCAATGCCAAGGTACTGCTGCAAAAACTTAGTTAAAGCATTAAAAGTCATGATATACCTTGTCGACATGGTGAAATGTAAGACATCACTAGATTGTAAATGCTGAGCTATCAAAGTATTCCAAGTAATTAGACGTGGAGAAACAGTAAATACAAGTTTTGGCATTTATTATGTTCACCGTTTTACCTACACATGGGTCTTTAGCGCTTAATTAAATTAAAGCATTGAAGAATTTAAAAGTCAGTTTGTCATGATCTTTAGAGACAGTTGGAAGCAGAGTTATTCAATCTCCACTGCATGCCAGGTTTACTGGCAAAAGTCATAATAATTCAGCAATTTACAATAGCCACATTACACAAATTACAAGTATGTTTTGAATATCTTCATTAAACTAAAGTTGTTGTTGGTGGTAGTGGTGGTGTATGTTTGCAAATCAAACAAAACAAGGTCATTTTGGTGAATGCTGCTGTCTTAAAATTATTCACCTTCTTCTTGGAAAGTGCATTTAGTTCTTTGCGGTGCACCAACGTGCTTTTAAGGCATCTCAGCCGTTCCTCAGATCCAAAGGCCTCAAGTTAGATTATATGAAACTCAGCTTTGGTAGATTTCATATTTGCTGGAGCCAGTAGTTTTCCCTGTTGTCATGGTTGCACAAACTGGGCTGTGCAGGCTTGACAGAAAGGTACAGTGGGGCAAAAAAGTATTTAGTCAGCCACCGATTGTGTAAGTTCCCCCACTTAAAATGATGACAGAGGTCAGTAATTTGCACCAGAGGTACACTTCAACTGTGAGAGACAGAATGTGAAAAAAAAATCCATGAATCCACATGGTAGGATTTGTAAAGAATTTATTCGTAAATTAGGGTGGAAAATAAGTATTTGGTCACCTCAAACAAGGAAAATCTCTGGCTCTCACAGACCTGTAACGTCTTCTGTAAGAAGCTTTTCTGTCCCCCACTCGTTACCTGTATGAATGGCACCTGTTTGAACTCATCATCTGTATAAAAGACACCTGTCCACAGCCTCAAACAGTCAGACTCCAAACTCCGCCATGGCCAAGACCAAAGAGCTTTCGAAGGACACCAGGAAAAGTATTGTAGACCTGCACCAGACTGGGAAGAGTGAATCTACTATAGGCAAGCAGCTTGGTGTGAAAAAATCAACTGTGGGAGCAATCATCAGAAAATGGAAGACATACAAGACCACTGATAATCTCCCTCGATCTGGGGCTCCACGCAAGATCTCATCCCGTGGGGTCAAAATGATCATGAGAACGGTGAGCAAAGATCCCAGAACCACACGGGGGGACCTGGTGAATGACCTGCAGAGAGCTGGGACCAAAGTAACAAAGGTCACCATGAGTAACACACTACAACGGCAGGGAATCAAATCCCGCAGTGCCAGACGTGTTCCGCTGCTGAAGCCAGTGCATGTCCAGGCCCGTCTGAAGTTTGCCAGAGAGCACATGGATGATACAGCAGAGGATTGGGAGAATGTCATGTGGTCAGATGAAACCAAAGTAGAACTTTTTGGTATAAACTCAACTCGTCGTGTTTGGAGGAAGAAGAATACTGAGTTGCATCCCAAGAACACCATACCTACTGTGAAGCATGGGGGTGGAAACATCATGCTATGGGGCTGTTTTTCTGCCAAGGGGACAGGACGACTGATCCGTGTTAAGGACAGAATGAATGGGGCCATGTATCGTGAGATTTTGAGCCAAAACCTCCTTCCATCAGTGAGAACTTTGAAGATGAAACGAGGCTGGGTCTTCCAACATGACAATGATCCAAAACACACCGCCCGGGCAACAAAGGAGTGGCTCCGTAAGAAGCATTTGAAAGTCCTGGAGTGGCCTAGCCAGTCTCCAGACCTCAACCCCATAGAAAATCTGTGGCGGGAGTTGAAAGTCCGTGTTGCTCGGCGACAGCCCCAAAACATCACTGCTCTCGAGAAGATCTGCATGGAGGAATGGGCCAAAATACCAGCTACTGTGTGTGCAAACCTGGTAAAGACCTATAGTAAACGTTTGACCTCTGTTATTGCCAACAAAGGTTATGTTACAAAGTATTGAGTTGTATTTTTGTTATTGACCAAATACTTATTTTCCACCCTGATTTACGAATAAATTCTTTACAAATCCTACCATGTGGATTCATGGATTTTTTTTTCACATTCTGTCTCTCACAGTTGGAGTGTACCTCTGGTGCAAATTACTGACCTCTGTCATCATTTTAAGTGGAGGAACTTGCACAATCGGTGGCTGACTAAATACTTTTTTGCCCCACTGTAGATGCATACAAATACCAATAAAAAGCATTATATTTGTCAAATCAAATGACAAAGTAGGTAGGTGAGCTAATTGCTGTGTATAGCTGTTATGGTCAGTGGTGTAAGTAGGGCTGAACGATTATGGAAAATAATCTAATTGCGATTTTTTGCCCCAATATTGCGATTGCGATGCGATATGCGATTATTTTTTAAGGTCTTTGTCTTCTGTATTATTAAACAAAGACAAGCAATACATCATATAGTATGGCCAATACTATATTACATTAATTTTAAACTGTTCTTTCCTGGAAGACAGACCTCTGTTATGATGACATGAGGTGATGCATGAATTGATGACTGACATTTTTATTTAACTTCTTCAATCACAACAGTATATTTGAACATACACAATAGTTTATTTTTAGCTTACAAACATCTGAGCATAAAGTGCTGACAAGGAACCCTGGTGTAAACATTAAAATGAAAGTCAGTACAATGTGCAGATTGCAGAAATATACATAAACAAAATCAGTGGCTTTACCACACTCAGTTTTTCGACATCTGTGAACTACTAGACAGTCATTCAATTAAAAAATAATATTAAATAAATAAAACTAATAAATAAAAAATACACACATCTTACTGATCTCTGCAGTCAGTAACATTACACATAAAGTGCAAACATAATAGCAATTGTATAAACACACACACAAACACGCCTTTAAAATTTAAAGGCGTGAAATTGGACGGTCTAGCCTTCTGATTAGCGTCACCGCTGTCTCGGTGGAGTTTAATAAACTCGGCCGTCTGCTTCTTGCTATCTAAAATATAACCAGACACTGGTGTAAATTCTCGACTGTCTCATACTTCTGTTTAATAAGTTTTCTGTTTGACGTTTAGTCAGCTGTGTGAAAACCAAGGAGGAACCCACCCGGGGGATTAATAGTTTTATTTTATCTAATCTAATAACTTTAATCTCAGCCAAACCGATTTACTCACGAACAAACAAAACACTGAAAAAAGCCCAACAATAACATTTTTAGGTTGTCTAAGTGACTTATATATTACGTTTAACCCGATCAGCGAAACTCCGCGGTGATCTGAAAATGATGTGCCGGGAGTTGTGCCGTTCTCGGCCGCATCAGTAACCCTCGAGCTCCCGGCTAGCTGTCGAGCTGGTGGGTAGCAGACGCCTCTGAAAACGTCGAAGCACTTTTGCAAATATGGGATATCTTGATAAACTGAGCAGATATTTGATGTTTACACAACTACTTTCTCGCCTGAAAATATGTTAAAAGTTTATTTTGTGACCCAGAAAGATTAGTATGAGTAATTTTAAAACTTAGTAGCGGCCGCCATTGCTGGAAACTGGAGTTTGGCTGGGCCGCGCTATGAATTCTGGGATATGGTAGTAATTTGGACAGCCTTCGGCGCGTCGCTGTGACGTAATCGGTCTACAAATGCGGCCTCAGGAGGATGCAGCCCATGAATTTGGACATGTCCAGAGTATAATCGCAGCCTTTGCGGTTAGAAAATTGCACTTGATCATGTCGCGATATTATCGCAAATGCAATATATCGTTCAGCCCTAGGTGTAAGTGAATCGATGACTAAAGTGCTTGTGTATGGAATCTTGTTTAGTGCAAGAAACCAAAATCCAAAGGATGTTTCTCAGGGAAGAGAACTACACATCAACTAAGCTCTAAGAGCTTTAATAGCGGACCTGCACAGAAGGCCGAGATGTTGCCGGTGTTGCTCAATGGAAATAAACACACACATAGACTGAAAAGAAGGTGGGGTCGAGTGGGTCTTCACAGAGTAAATAAAATTAAATACATTTGTGTGTCTAAACCTAAGAAGGAAATATTAGTGGATATATCACACCAAGGATGCCAGAAATGGAGCTCCCAGTTTAGAGCAAAGGAACTATAAATGTAGTAAATGTTTATCACTGTAAACTCTAAAATGTAATAGAGTAGAGTTTAAAGTAGCAAATGAGCTACTTAAATACAGGACTTGAGTGAATGTATTTATAGCATTAACTTAAATGTTGCTCAGAGGAGAACTGACAGCCACACACAACCACTGAGGGACGTATCTTCTGATGTAAACCAGCTGCATGGTAACAGGACCTGAAGTGGTGTTTGACCTTAATGATGCCAGCATAACATGTCTATTAATAATAGTGGCGGAGGACAAACTATACACTGCTTGTGACCTCAAACACTGCCACTGTCATCTGCTTTTTGTCAGTTGGAAACTGAATGTCATCAGAACAATCTCCTCTGAAGGGACATTTCTAAAGAGACTTAAATTTCCCTTTTCACTTCATTGTATGATCCCTTGCCAAAAACGGTTATAGTCAGAGTTAGAGTTCAGACACTTGAAGCAGGAAATGGTCAAGATTTTTGGCTTCAAAATGCACTGATTCAACCTCTAAGTATGGGCCCCTGTCTTTGTCATATTTAATGGTAAACTGAATATCTGTGGATGTTAAACAATTGGGTTAAGGCGATAAGATGGAGTATATTCAGCAACGTCCTCTGCCTTGTAGAGTTGGAAAATTCAGAAAGTGGCTTTCATGAGTTTGATCACTATCTTCTCTTGTTGTTGACCAGTCAAATCAAGAAAACCTACTGGGCAATAATAAATAGGGATGTACCACTTACTAAATTACAATGTTTAAAATAGGAATGTGGCTGATGCAAATATCAAGGTCAGTCTTTTTATGTTCTTTTTTTTTTTTTCATTTTTTGAGCCATCATAACTTCATGTTTACAACAGATGATTATTGGCCATTATATCCTTATCAGCACTGATAACAGCCAAAAAATGAAAGTTTAAAAAGTAAGGAAGGAAGTGACGGGAGAAATATTGATGTTGATGGTGCATAGTTTGCCCACTAGTGGGAAAATGTCTAAAAAGGGGAAAAATATCAGCATATATAGCAGATTTTTAGATCACCAGATATCAATATTGGCCTTGAAAATTCTGACTGTCCAGGCTGTGTACATGAAATTTCCAGGTTTGCGAAAGACACATTTTACTTGTTTAAAACTGCAACTAAATTAATTTTACTCTGTGTCACAATCTAGTGCCAGAATCTTTAAAAAAAATTTGTTTAGGTTTTTGTTTTGTTTTTTGTTATGCATGTTTTTGTTCCATAACCAACCTTTTTTTGCTACATCATGTTTTTTAATTAAAATTAAAAAAAACAAAAAACAAATGTTAAACTGTAAAATTGAAACTAAATATCATTTTAAAATAAACAAAACTCGGGTGCAATTTTGAGAATATATAAAACCTAAAAAATCATGGAATTATAAAGTCAGTGTTGTCATTGATTTTTTTTTGTATTAAACATGTAAGTTTTTTTATCTTCAGGATGGCAGCCTCGCTGGTTCGTCTTAGAGAACGGAGTCATCTCTTATTACGACAGCGAGGACGATGTTGGCAAAGGAAGCAAAGGATCCATCAAGATGTCCGTATGTGACATTAAAGGTTAGCTCCTCTATATCTCACCCATTCTCTCTCATGGTGCCACAAAAGCAAACATATCCATCACACTAACGCTCCTCATATTTTATGTCTCAGTTCATCCGACAGATACGACCCGTCTAGAGTTGATAATCCCTGGTGAACAGCATTTCTACGTACGAGCTGTGAACGCTGCAGAGAGGCAGAGGTGGCTCGTGGCTTTGGGGTCATCCAAAGCTGGGACACTGGACAGTAACAAACACAAAGGTAAGTCTGCAATGTCTGCTCTTTTTTCTCAGGATTGATCCGTGGGAAAATTACCTAACAAAAACTGGAAACCATTTCAGTCAGCAACAATTTAGAATAAATTACAAAGTAAAAGAACAAGCAGCCCAGTCTGCTAGTTCAATGTTATTCTGTGCGTACTTCACCACATGTCAGCCACGGGACAGCTGATGTGGCATAGAGAGACTTAAGAGGAAATGGTTAGCAGTTCAGAGATATTTAACAGCTGCTACACCAGCAGTTTTATCTGCGTGTTTACAAAGACTGCAAGCTGAGGTCAGGTGAGCCGACACCATTGAAAGACTCGGACCACCGTAATTCTTTGGCTTATCTCTCGCGCTCGGTCATTGTGTTTGGTCAGAGAGACAATATATAAAGTGAGAGTTTTATTACACTTTTTGTTACATTTACAGTAACAGCACCTTATAAACAGCTTGATTAAATATTTCACTTCTGCTATCTATTGGCAGCTCTGTATATGATTTGTTTGCTAAATGAGGAGGTTTATAAAAAGGAGAAACAGCAACTGCAGATGACAGCAGTATGCAGCATGTTAATGAGATTGTTTTATATAACCTGGTCCTGGTGTTATTTTTTTATCTTACAAACTAGATTAGTAATGTTTGTATTGCATGTATTGTCTTGTTTTATATTTAGTTTTATTTTATTTTTTAAAGTTAGGAAAGCAATATTTAGGTCAAGCCTGATGTTGCCTTAAACCAGGATGGACAATTATTTTCCCCAAGAAACTGGTTTTGTTGTGAAGGGCTACACCAATGAGTTAAATTTAGTTGTGCTCAATATTAATTTTATCTCTTTATAAACTGCTGCTGGTAGCAGTAGCAGTGGCTTTTACAATTAGGCAATAAAAACATGATATAGACATAATAAAAACTCCAGCCTTTCATAACTGTTTAATCAACATTCCCAAAACAAACCGAACAAATTGTATTGTTTTTGAAAAATTTAAAGACCTTTAACTTTATACAAAATGCTTTACTATTTTACTCAGTCAGGATCAAAGTATGAGGTGGAAAAATGAAGGACAGTTGCATCAACAGCAAATCAAAGAGCTGTCTTTTTGCATCTGAGAGCTCTGGAATGTCCTCACATTTCTTCTCATAAAATCTCATAAATTTCTGCCCTCAGGCCCCAGACGCTTTTTAACGCTTTGCCCAGGTTGAGCTATTTGACAGCTGTGTGGTAAAGGCCACATGAGGCCAGGGCCATACAATGCTCAGGTCTACCTTAAACACTGTAAGGAATGATTCCCAGGTTCCTTGGTGCATCCTCAGCTATGACTTATCATTTTAGCCATTTAGCTGTCCACCTGTGGTCATTAATTACAGACTTAACCATTCATTATTGTATGTGAACATGATTCTCCTGTTGATATTACTTTATTTCATTCTGGAATTGCAAAATAAGCTGCTCAGTGTCTTTCATCCTGTGAGAGACTACTGTTGTGTTTTTTGATTTTATTTTGACACAATATGCATTACGGAGTGTGGATAGTGATATTGACTATTGGTCATCTCAAAATCAAATAAGACATGGAGAAGGGTCGTCCAACTCTGCAACCCTTCCATGTACATTATCATGGAAATCTAGTTGTTTAAATATTTTAACATAAAACAGAAGTGAACAGTGGCATCATTTAGTTGATTCAGGTACACATTTATTAGTTTCCTGAACCCAACACTTCTGTCTGTCAGGTCCAGACTGTCTGAAGACAAAAATGTCTGAACTCCGCCTGTACTGTGACCTCCTCGTCCAGCAGGTCCAAACAATCCAATCACAGTACAGCGCTGACTCAGAGACCGCGCCGACTTCTGAGGTAAGAAACGGGGGTTCTTTTTACCTCAAACTTATCTTTACAATATTTCAAAGTTAGACTCAAATTATAAGAGTTTCTTTTTTCAGTACTTAAATGATATTATTTTGCTTTATTGTGTATATGTGAAAGAAATTATTTAAAAAGGAGGCATTTTACCATTTAAAAAAAAAAAAAAAGGAACCTTTAGTGCACACAAAAGACCCATCAGGCAGAAAGATGTCTAAAATTAAATCAAAATTATTTCTCAGTTTGAAGCTTGAAGGTATGTGAGTGAAAAAAAAAAAAAAGATGATTGGTTATTCGTCTGTGTGTCTTCAGGCCTCGCTCCTCAGTGCCACATGTGCCACTTTCATCAGGACTCTGGAGGAGTGTATGACCTTGGCCAATCACAGTTTGACTCCTGACCTCCGACCTCCTGAAAGGGTAATTTCACCTTCTCTAGCTAATCAAAAGCCTGTAATTTAGGTTTAGATTAATAAAAAAAAAAAGGTCAATAATATCTATTTTCTCTAACTCAAAAGTTGTTTAATTATTCAGTTACAGTAGATAAAAGATGTTTAATACAACATGAGTAATAATATTCAAGAAGAAACATCCTCCGTAAAATAAAATACAATTTTGTATCTTTGTTGACACGACCGATTTTTTTCATTTATATTCCTATGGTTTGTTCGAGTTTCACAATGTGCCCGTGATGTTCAGCAGTACAGAGTGCTCTGGTGCACAAAACCAGAGTCATTAGGCGTTCTGTAATTGGATAGAAATATTGTGTAGTTGTAGACTTGGCAAATAACAGTGTGGCATAATTGTTTTATTGTAGATTTTATTTTATACTCATACACTCAGGGTAAAACATTGAAGCAGACGTGACAGGAGAGGTTAAGAAAACACTTGACCTCAAGCAAAATGTTATCTTCACTGATTAGTTTACTATATTTTTACAGTAAGAAAGAAATTGAACAGAATTCAATAAAAATGTTACTTTGATCTTTTACTTGTTTCATTTATAAACAGACCAATACTTTTTTTTATAAGGTGATGACTCTGTTTTGTATTTTGAAAGGTGCACCAGTCACTCAGGTTACCCTCACACAATGCACAAAAATGATCAAACTGTTCAGTCAATTTCCATTTTTAGTCTCAGACACTTTTCATTTCCTTTTACTTATTTTGTATTCTTTTCACTGTACTTTGAACATTGTAATACCAATACCTACAGGCATAATAAAAAAAAATCTTAATCTGCAACAGAATAATTCCAATAATGCTCAAGATGCAGGTCTTTATTTAGACGTGCCAGATGGAAATAAAAAGTTAACAAAATGGCTTAAAGTCTAAATGTTTTCTCATTTTACAGCTCATCGAGGGATCAGAGATATTTAGAACAAAAACAAAAGTGAAGGTCTTGAAATTGTTATCAGGTTTTAATTGAACTTAAAAAAAATCTAAATGACCAAATGTGTCACTTTCTGTACAGATGAAGCGGTCAATCAGTCACCCTGGAACATACAGCTTTGACAGGTGAGTGAAACACGTACACAAACCATCATGAATTTAAAGTTGTAACAAAAAAGAGGTGACTTAAATTCATTCAAAGTCACATTTAAAGTTTCTTGTAGACTATACTCAAGTTTGTTTATGAAGCATATTTATTACAAACATGTTGTTCAAAGATCTTTACGTGGGAAAAAAAACCCTTGGATGCACCAGGGGCGATTCTAGCTTCAAACTTTTATGCAGGCTCAGCCTCCAATCATAATGTCATGCACACAATGCCTTGCAGTTACAGCATTGTGTTACAACTTGCCTTTAAAAGCAATTCAATTCAATGTGTTTTCACAGATTTAAAAGTAATAAGCTGGTTTTAGGGTGGATCGTTTAGTCTGAGGCAAAGACTTGATCAGAGTTTTCAAACTAGAATTTTTAGGAGGAAGTTAAAGAACAATAAAGTAGATACAAACATGCACAGCATTGTTTCAGTATTACTACTTAAAGTAAAATTATTCAGTACAGACACTGAAAAATCATCCTGGACAGGAAGCAGACTTTTACGTGAAAGTTTTTGAATTTGTACAAGCTTTCAATCTGACCCTGTTCTCCAAATAAGAAAGGAATTACTGGAATGCTGATTTTGGCCTCCAGGAGGCAGAAATGTAGTATTTTAAATATGTCAATCTGAACTGGCACAACTCAGTGTAGACTTTACTACAGCAGGTACTGAAGAGTACTGGAGGATGGACACGTCACACACTAATTATTATTGTCACATATTGGCATTTTATAGTCCGTGTGCAGTGCTTTGCACACACGTCACCTTCTGACAGCAGAGTCACCATCTACCTGAGAGCTAATTCAACAAAGTGACTTGTTTTGTGTGTAGCATGATTGCCTTTTTAAAAAAAAAAAAAATCATGTTTTGTTGATGGATTCTGTAAAAAGTCTCGTTCCAATGGTTGGACTGAGATGCATGGCAGGACACTTTTTAAAGTAATGGTGTTACATACATCTGTTACTGGGAGATGTTAAAATTATAAAGTAAGTGCTTTTTCAATTGCTGATGACTGCTGCATCACATAAGAATGAAATAGATGTTAGGATATTTATCGGACTCAACTTCATTTGTTCACTTTAGTGATTTAAAATCTGCTGACATTAATGCCTAGCATAGACAGCAGGTATTATTAAAGCAAATAAAACCTGTTAAACCCTCAAGTGACTGCTATTTTAGCCACTGAAATGACTGAGTGGGTTCATTTATGACTCCATTAGATTTTGTACAGGAAACCTTTTTCCTTTTTCCTTACAGCTTTATGTGTTAATGATGCCTATACTATTTACTTTTCCCATGACAATATTCAGTTATTGTTTATCAGTAATATGTTTTGGGCACAAAAGCGTCAACCTCACAAAATGTCAGTTTAGTTGTTTTCATCGTGAGTTTGGGTCTCAGGTGTCTGCTAGTTCTCGTGAGCACCACTTCACTGCGAAACATCACTTTGCACATAGAAAATTACACCAAAAATTTGTCCACAGTGTTAAAACAAAAAATAAATGACCCACCTAACTACCCATTAACCCTGTCACACCTGTGAAAAGTTGTAACACCTCACTTGGTTACTTCAAGGTTAAGTGTTCATACGTCACTCCGCTTTACAACAGTTTCTACTCCTTCTGTACTTGTGTCTTGGATCTTTTGGGGGGAAGCCGTTCACACACCATGCAAAAAATAAACTGAATATTTTAATTTTTGTTGTTGTTGACCTTTACAAATCAAATGTAACGGCTCTTCACCAGTTTCTCAGAAACCAAACTAGTTCTTTAGGTTTTCTCAAATCTGTTGAATGAAAATGACTGTGAGGATTTAAAGGTCCCTTCATTTTTGTTGCTGGTTCATTTAACTTTCAGAGGATGTCATTCTCTGTAAAGAGGACAAAAAGCAAAGCAAGTGATAAAATTTAAACTCGTGATTGTGGAAAAAAAAAAGGTTTTATGTGAGATTTGATGTGCAATTGAACACATGAGACATCAGGATGAAACTAAATATTTACAGCACAACCTGTAAAGTCCAGTGTGATAGTGCTGAGTCACAAGACTGACAGATTAATATGAGTGCAGTAATAATGTTTATGACAGTGAGTGGAAATTGTACAGTATTATGAAGATTATATATTGCATTTATTTAATGAGTAACGACAGCTTGTTTATGTTCTTGTGTTTTGGAGTCTGATTGTGTGATGAGCAAATGCTCCTGCATCGTCTCAGATGGAAGCGGGGCTTTGCTCCAGAAGCAGGTTTAATGGAAAACTGGAGGCAACTCTGGGTTTTCTGTTGTAGTTGGACTGCAGAAATCCCAGGTCACATAACTCACTCACTGGCTGCTTTTCTTCAACAAACCCTGAATATAGTAATGATATTATTTATTGATAATAATAATAATAAGAAGAAAAAACACAATAATAATTAATAATAACTGAACTAACTCTGATCAGCTGATAACTAACTCAGTTATCAGTTTAATAAACTTGCTTTCTGTAAAGGAGCAGTTGACAGTCTAGATAGTTCATTTATTTTTACAGATTTTGTTATTGTTTCAACAACTGATAATTAAGCTGGAATCAGTTGGAAGCTTCGTATAAATATGTAAGAGTTCTTCTCACATGTTCAGGACTTCTTTAGCATTAGAAATGTTTATTTATATAATTTAGCACGATTCTGATTGCAGTTTGATCTCTAACTGGACAGGACTGTCGAGTCCGATGTCACTTTTGCTTGTTATATCAAATGTGATTGGTAATTGCTGAAATAAGGCAGTCTTAGTATTATGGAAAAGCACCTAATAAGCTGTCTTTCCGTAATTCTAATGACCATGGCACCTAGTGTCTGCCTTATTTCCAATCTAGACATAAACATTTGCCACACAAAGGCTCATTTGACTGCAGTGCAGATGCGTGACAGGCTGTGCTGCATCAGCAGTGTAGTTCTATAATTTCAAAACATAATGATTTGGGGAAAAAAGAAGTTTCTGTATAAATGTCCATTTCTTAGATTTGGAAATAAAGCAGACACTAGATGCCATGACTGAAATTAAACAATACTGAAGCAAATGCTGTATGCGGTGGCTAACCGCCTAACCATGTTTCTGTCAAGGTTGGCGGGGACCACAGTATTGGGAAGTCAGACAAACACACAATAGTTGAAAATATTTCAAGTTTGGAGAAGAATTTGTTTGACACTGTGTTGCTAAATCCTATCAGCTGAGATTCTCCGTTGTTGTTGTTTGAGGGCAGCTAAAGCTTGCATTGTTGCTTGTCAGGGTCAGGGTCCTGTGGCCAGCAGTCTGAGCAGAGATGTCCAAACATCTCTTCCTTTTACTTCTTGGTAGTTTTGTTCTCCTTCTGGCTAATAGGGGTAAATATTTGTGGATGACTTTTTTTTTTACTGTTCACAAAACCTCCCCATTAAATTACAGCTGTAAGACACACTTGTTAAATAACACTACTGCGGTGAGAAAGTTTTCAGTTTCTCTCAATCTTTTTCATTACTCCTCCTCCTCAGGTCAGGTGTACTGAAGGAGTACGTGAGTGGAGGTCAAAGGTCAACTCAGCGGAGAAACCGTACCAACTCTGACAGCTCGGTTTATGATACTGAACGTAAGACATAACATCTTTTTATAGTCTGCATAAGTGACACTTCAGAACTAAATAAAGAGAAAATAGTAGAGAGACTTAAACACATTAAGTTTTTAAGTGATATTATATGAGCTAATTAGTATAAGTAGGTATAGTTACATTCAATATGAATTCTTACAACTGAGCTGAAAACATGTTTTGTATTCAGTACTGAGAGTTAAAGCCTGTATGACCCTTGGTTGAGTTTACCAATGGCTGTTTCAGTGAGTGGTTTAACTACGTTCTTTGTAGCTTTCTGCACTTTCCGCGGTGTAACTCGATTTTGAGAATCCTGAATGAAAGCGACCCACCTGTTAATATATTTGTTTTGTTTTCCAGGTTTGCTGCCTGCTCTCAACGGTGACTCGTCCTCCATTCCCGAGGAGAGGGCAGGCAGTGTGAGCCCAAAGACCACGCCCACTGACACAGACACTGACCTTTCCATCTGAAGACCCCAAGATGCCCATCCAAACCCTGATAAACTCTAGAAGATGTCACAAACGCCACCAGATCATTATTTGCTGAGATACTGACACCATTACACCAAGGATGAACATTTTCGTTGTAGGAACGTCCTTCACAAGCTGTTTCTCAGCTAATTGCCAAACAAAAGCACTTTGGATTCATTAGCTTTCATTTCATGAAGTCTTTCAGTTGCACAGTATACACTAGACTGACGGAAATTCAGTCCCAAGCTGAAGTTCGAGAAATTGAGAGTATGAATTATATGAAGCTTTAACCTGATGAGGTGAGAGGACTCCACACTGTTAACCTTTCAGATTTAACCATGGATACTTTTGTAGTCATGTAGTTGTACTTGAAGTCCACATCCTGGATTCAAGGAAAATTGTAAGTATCCCCAGTCGATCCAGCGAATTTCCTCAGCTGGAACCAGATGATTGTATCAGGCAGCTCCATGACGCAGTGTGGACACGATGAACTATGAATTCCTGGTTTCTGGAACAATTAGATGCCAGGGCTGCTTTAATCAGAATGTACTGAAGGTTTGTTGTGTTCTGAGGTTTGTTTGTGCATCCAAAAACTGACCGCAGAGCCAAAAGTTTTGTTCAGTGGCACTTAGACAGGATGTTGAAATCCAGCAACTGTGACGCAAAAGCATCTATTTTTCTGGCTTTTCCTAAAGAGCCCCAAATTACTTCTTTCCTCCCGTCTTCTGTGTTCTTCTTCCAGGCCTCCAGCTGAGCTCATTGCCGAAAGCAAAGGCAAAAAAAAAAAAACGTTCTCCATCACTCTCCGTCCCTGCTTTAACGAGTCTGCTTGTGTCTTCAGATGTTTGCCAAAACATAATCACCTGCATTAAAGCTGCCACCTTTCTTTTTCCAGGCGGTCATGCTCAGCCTGGACCGTGTTACGCTCTTTGCAGCTTGTCCTCGTTTTGAGCCGAGTTTCACCTAAACTCTTAAGACAAGTGAACAGAAATACTAAATTTCAGATAATCTAGCTGGGAATGTGAGCAAATCTTTGAATTTCTTAATTATTTCCTTGAAGATGTGACCCTGACACCACTCATTTTAGGGTGAATATGAAAACTGAGCTTTTTAGCAATCGGTCACTGACATGACTGAAGCATTAATGCTAGCTCAGATCATATTATATTTGTGTGTGTGGTCACTGTGTCAGATTAGGAGATGTTTTAGAAGATGGATTCAGTTTTGGGATTTAATTGAGGCGGAAGTGCCTTCAAGCTGCATTCCTTTTGATTGCCAGCAGGGGGCGACTCTTTGTGCTGCCTAGTCTTTGTGGAACTGTGAAGGTCGTTTTGTAATTTACTAAAGTCAGAAAGGAGAATCATCCAGGTGCACTCGTAGACTTATGACTTTTCAGTTATTTGTCCTCTGTTTCTTGGTCACATTCATCACTTGTTCATCAAAATTCTCTTCAAAACAACCGAATGGTGGCGGATAAAAACTTTGCCTTTTGAGAATGAGAGTCACCACAGATGCCACATCCCAGTCAGTCACACTTGTTATCCAGCCTTTTCAAATGAGAGAACCAAAGTGTTGTGTATAAACTGACATATAGTCTGTTTTACAGTCCTGCGTTTCCAACACTGGCAACATCGTTTCTCTTTTGTTTTTGTCATTTTCAGCTTCACGGAAAACTGGAGAAGGTTCCGGAAACTGAAGCGTAAAAATCAAAAACCTTATCTGAACCTTACTGTGATCTGATCTCCTCTTTAAGGTCATTTTCAGCATGTCTTTTTCTTTCCTCCATTCTGACCACTCTCACTGTGTGACTTCACCATGGACCTCACATTAGTGCAAAGAACGAACATCAACTTTTACTTTAAACTGATCCAGAGTTTGTGGATGATCATCGTTGGTGATGAGAGCTGAATCTTTAGCTATGACCAAGCAGTTTCCAGTCAAAGACCAGAGTTTCCAAGTCCAAAGGCAGCACATCAGGTTGAGGAAACTTAGAAGAACGCTCTGCATTTTTTTTCAACATTTATCTGGTTGTGCATCATGGATTCGTTCCCCAGCACAAGGCTGTGGATACAGAGTTCTGCTGTAACATCCTGAGGTGTCTGAGGGAGGAGATTCAGATGCAACGATCTGAACTGTGGGGATTTTCAGCCACAGACATTCAGGCTTCGCTCACCACCTGTCTAACTCCCCAGATTTGCCTCCCTGTGACTGTGTTCACTTCCTGAAAGTATAAAATCATGAGAAGTATAACTGTTCAGACACACGAGAGGCGATCAAGCGGCGTCGCAGAGGAGCGAGTGCAAGGAGACAGCAGCAGTCATCTAAAAACTGCAGCCACACTGGTGATCAAACGTTTACAGTGTTTGATTTTCACATGTTGATTCCCAAAACCTTATCAAACTTTAAAAATATGTAAAGCTTAACGTTTCAGACGATGATGTATTGTTTGCAAAGTGTTGTCTTTGTAAATTTCTTTCTGAGGAGCTGCAAGGAGGAAAAAACGTGTTTGTGCCATTTGAAAAACTGCCTTCAGATAGTATCCACAGCAGGATAAACAGTGTTCACCACCAGAAAATAAAAAAAAACACAAGATATATCATTTTCTGTGGCTCAGACACTCTAAAGGTCAAAGTGACACATTGAGTGGAAGAAGACATTTAGATTTGTGTGCGTGTGTGAGAGACGAGGAAGGCTGTCCCAAATCTTCACACATCACCTTTGAAGTCTGCACAGTGTCGTGTCACGCCACGCTTGCGTTGTTGTTCAAACACAGAAAAAGTAGTCATGTGAAAACAAAGCAAACACAGTGATGCTCACCAACGTTCCCGGCAGAATACTGAACTGAAAAAACCCCCCAAATATTTGATGCCGTAGTGCGTTTGTGTTTACCTTAACGTCACTCGTGCCAATTTAGATGGACCACGTCTGTTGTATCCTAAGCTTTGTGAATTTTGTGGGTGTTTTGAAACAGACAGTTTTCCTAGTAACTTTACAGTACTTTCCCTTAACATCCATTTTTCTTTCATGTGGTGACTTTTGCACTCCAGTCTTTTTTTAAAAAAATATTTGAGAACTAAATAAGTGGATTATAGTGACAATGGTACTGCGTGTTGGAAACAGTGATGGCTGTGAAACTTTGAAAGCTGCAGCCTTAAATATATGAAAACTTCTTGAAACTTTTCTTCTGTGTATTATTCTACTCGAATGTCTGTTCACTCTCTGTGATGAAGACCCAGAGGTGCATTTCCTGTGTATAATCAGAGCTGCACACAGTTTAAACTTTGGATGTTAGCTTCATGTCCTGTCACTGACCTGTGATGTTACTCTCATCTGCAGAGAGCTAGTAGATCTGTATTTGATCATTGTGTGGGCCCATATAAAATAAAGTCTACATTTTGCCAAATTTTCAGACTTGATAGCACGACAACAACGCTTAATGAGCTTTTGCTTCTCTGACTACTGACGTGGTCCACCGGCTGGTTCGGGACATATTTGGGCCTCATATATGATCCATTTTCTGTCCAATAACACAGATGATAGATTAAATCGATCAAAAACTGGACTTTTTTTTATTTTTTTATTATTGAATCACTTATTAATACAGTGAATTTTTAAAAAAGTTTTAGATTTACCTTTACCTATGGTCGTGAGCTTCAGTTAATGACCGACAGAATACAGTTGACACCGCTTCTCTGAATTGAAAGAGCCAGCTGACATAGTTCGGACTTCCAGGGGCAGATCCAGCACACTCAGGAGAGATTGTGGCTCTCGGCTGGTTTGGGAATTTCTCAAAGAGCAGGAGGTGGGAGCATCCATGCCCCTGTGCCCAGAGAAGCCGTAGACCATGCATAAACAATGAGCTGATGAATGCAGGGGAGAGAACTCATCAGAATATATTTGCTGAGCTATGTAAGGAGAATATTACAAACTCTAGATATATGAATTTTAAAATAAATATAAAGATGTTTTTCTTGCTGTTCTTTTGCATCCAGATATTGAGATCCCGCCCATATCTTAATGAGTCATCTTTGCAAGTACGGGGAGGCTGACTGTGTTACGTGTAAGCCACCCTTTCCACATTTCCATGCTAAGCAAACTGTTTAGCTGTAGATTCATGTGTTCAGGATTCTTTGGAACCCCCCCCCCCCCCCCAAATAAATAAATAAATAAATATCCTGCCCTTAAACACCTCAGTCAACAAGCTCTGATGTGAGAGAGAGAGAAGCTTAAATATTACACTCCTGAGTTACTCCCAAATCTCTTTTTTTCTTCTTGCGGATTATTTTGTATTTGTTGTGGCCAAACCAGCAGAGATTTTCATGCCTTAACTGTCTCTGAGTGACGTAAGTGGTTGTATCAGATCAGATTTTCATTGTCTGAATAAAGAAATGTTTGAAACTGAAGGTGTTTTTTTTTTTCCTTTCATATTTAAGGGTTTATATAGACCTTTAACACGCATGCATATACTACCTGCCCATAAATCAACAGCAGTTTAAGACTTTTAATAGGAGCTTTGTGTTTATTCAGCTGGTGGGAGGTTGTGGAGGGGCCTGGACGATGATCCTGTTGCGTGTTTACAAAAGGTGTGTGTATGCATATGTGCTTGTGTGTGTCGATCTGTGGTTGGAAGTCGGCTCTTTATTTTATTTATTTTCTGACAGCGATGAGCTCAGTGTGTCTCTTCCTCAAACAGCACATATCAAAACGCCCTCACCTGACACTCATTTGCACAAAGACACGCAGGTGTGTGAAGCAGAAGTATCCCGGACCTGAGGCAGAGAACGGGGAAGCATGGGTGAGTGCGCTTTGTGATAAATGAATAACTTGTTATCTTAAGAAGTAGCAAGTACAAACTTTACTATGCCACACATTACGCAGGGTTAACAGCTGAAATTGGTTAGGACTGTTTTTCTCACCAATTAATCTGCTCAGTCTGCACTGCTGCAAACTGAGTGAGGACATATTTTGTTCTTTGACAGAAAAAATCCTGAGCCTGAAATCATTCATTAGTTATCAAAACGACTTTAAATCAAAATGAACATGACCTCATATGTTCTCAAATAGCAAATGTGAATTCCTGTTAATCTCAAAGTACTTGAGCCCAGACTCAGTCACTTAAATGTGATTTGTAACATTTTGCTCAAACACTAGTAAATAAGTGTAATTTCTCTGGTTTGTTTTCCAACTGGGTTCAGTTTTAATACGGATTATTAATGGGTTGGTAGTATTTATTTTTTTTTTATTGTCAGCTAAGAAAATGTAACCATTCAACTTCTTGCTAGTGTGTTGAAGTAGGACAGGTGTTTTCAAATGTTGTGTAATGAGAGGCCACAGGTGATTGTGCGTTTGTATATTCATGTAGAATCTAGAATTCAACAAACTGTAGCTTCAAAAAAACCCTAACACAAATAACCACCTGTCTTTCTTTTTTGTTATGCGTGTAGTTGTGCATCTTATTTCCTTCACGTTTTCTTCTCCATCTGATTTCTAGACGAGTCTGGAGGACTTCACTCAGATTCTGAACAAAACACTGAGGACAATCAAGCACATCGTCAAAAACAATCAAAGGTATTAACCTATGTTTTTAAATGATGTGAGAAATTGCCGCTTGAAAGAGATCTGTTGGTTTTTAAATTCTTAGACTGTATCCGGGTAGAGTTTGTGTGACTCACAGCTCAAAATATTCTGCATCTGTCAGACAAAGGTTTGTTTCAGCCCTCAATTCCTTTAAGTCAGTGTCCTCTGATTGGCTGCTCCTGTAAACAACAGGTTTGAAAATGAAGGGGTGGGGCTTAACCATAATAGGAATTTTCCTTCTGTATCTATGAAGCCTGAGTTCATTTCATCAGCGACTTTTCCATGCTCTTACAAACCATATTATCGTATGCGAGCTCAAGTTCAGTAACACAGGTAAGCAGAGTTTATCAATCCAGAAAAGGTGGGCCTTGTATTTTCTGTTGGGATTGACTCACTTTTAGGGCCAAATTCGGCTTCATTTTTAAGTCCTGGATGTTTCCAACTAGTCAAAATATGGTCGCTTCTGGATCCTAACAAACATGGCAGCAGTCAAAATGTTAATACTGAGGCTATAAGTCCAGTTTAACAGGTTTAATGTTTTTTCTTTTCTACAATATTTGTGTAAATCTGGGGAATTGCCAGCATTGTTTCAGTGTTGTAGGAGGAGGACCTGCATGCATGTCCTTATCTCCTGCTGATTCTACTCCAAAGTGAGCTGATACAACCAAATTTCCCCTTGTGGGACAATTAAAGGATTATTCTATTCTATTCTAACTCCAGAGTCTATCTCGCTGCCCTGACTGCTACAACCACAAGGCACACTTCAGGTCTCGGTGGGGGGGCAGGAGTGAGTCCAGCTCATCTGACGAAGACTTTGGATCAGAGGTTAAGTCCGACTCAGAAGCAGAGTCCAGTTCCAGCAGCAGTTGCTTTACTGGGAACGTCGTAGAAGAGACACCAGTGAGGCCTGTGTGTGAAGACACTGCTGAACCTGATTCTGGAGGGCAGGATGGTGACAGGCGAGCGGAGACATCTGAGACTCCAGAGGATAAGGGAAGGATGAAGGGGATGCTCAAAAGACCTCGGCTAACCAAGTCTGTCAGTCTCCTGCCCCACCCTTGCCAAGTCACCTCCACCCTTCACCTCCAGGTGCTGCCCCAAAAACACAAGAATGACACCACCTACACCATCTGCCGACCAGAGAGAGGGGGAACCTTAGGAAGAAGAGACAATATCCCTCCCTCTGTACCATTCCCATGCCCGCGGCAGCCACCACATCTTCAGCCTGACTATATTCCTCCTCTCGTACGTCAGGGTCAATATATACCTCCACCTCTGCACACGTTTCCTATGTTATATGCACCTCTTCAGGCTCCAAATGCATCCTGCACACATCTGCAAACACTTACTGCACAACCATGCCAGTGTTATTACTGTATGTACTTTCCTCACACACACTGGAGTCATTACAGCAGTACACAGCTGCCCTGGTAATACAGTGCCCTGCAGTGTTGTATACAGCCCTTAAGCATGTGAAAAAACCAATAAAGAAATGTGAATATAAGGCATTAAATTAATGTTTTGTCATTGTAAACAATAATGCAATAATCCTGTCTGGGAGAGTGGACCTCCCCTGCATACATCACATGCATGCAATCGTAAAGGACAGTTTTGTTTGAATCCTGCGTGGAAACCTCATCTAGTAGGAGGGGCTTATAAACAAGAGAGAGTCACATAAGGACTGCTCGATCATCAAATTTGTATTTTTTTTTATATTACAGTTTTAGTTAAATGTCATTTTGGGAAGTCTGTCCTTGAGTAAAGTATCCGTCAAAACGGCGACGAAATGAGTTACTTTTTATCAGTTGTAGGTGGGAGGCCTTTTCAAACACCAGGGTTCAGAAAGTACCAGCTTGTAATAAATTGTTCTGTCTTGAGGTGAAAGTGTTCGTGATGAAGCTGTAAATCTGAATTCTGATGACCTGCATGAAGAATTCTGCTACTTTCAGCTGCATTCACAAGATTTCACCAAAGCCAGTGCCTCTGTATCTGGCAGATTTTAATGCTGGACTCTCGCTCTGAAGCAACCCCTGAAGAATTCGTGTCATCTCCTGGAATGCTGTATAGATTTTTATTAAAGACATTTACACATCGAGCATTAATGATATGCCTGGATCCAGTAATATTTTCTCGCTGTGTCTCCTTCTGGTCTAAAGTTTCTAGATACACCACAACACATTCTTACGAAATTTCTTTCATCGGCATCAGTCAACATTTGTTTTATCCTTTATTCTGATTTTTATGTTGGGTTTATTATGGTAGTCTTGATAAATAACATCTCAGGTGGGAGTGATTATATCTCTCTCCCCCCAACCTGTGTTGTACCTTGTCCAGTCGTGAGAGCAGTCCCTTCTTACAAATGTCAGAAGAAGACTATTGCTAATAGTTTTTGTCATTAATGTGGCTGTTGGGTATGAAAGATGCCTATAGACAACATTTGCAACCCATTTCAAGAGCACCCTATTTTCATCTCTTGCCTACCAATGCCTTCTTGTTTCTGCCCCTTACTGGATATACTGGGACTCGAACTTAAGACTCTGGCTCTAAAGGCATGTAGTCCTACCGCTATTCTATATCTATCTATATATACATTATTTGGGTTGGTGTGGTTACCAAAGGTTTTGTAATGTGTATGGTGTTTTGTGGGTGAGAGTGAGACTGAGGGTTTTTAGCATATTTGATTATTTTATTCTACATCTATCTTGGATATTTATTATTATTATTTTTACAGTGGATAATATCATCTAAAATTTTGTTGTTTTTTTTACTTTGGACCAAAACGAGTTGACTGATGGATACTGCATTGCTTAAATGGCTAAAAAGACCAAGATAAGATCGGCTCTTAGCGATCTGTCAGATGTTCTCATTTCTTTCCTTTTTCCTTAATGTATTCCATTATCCTCTCAAGTACTCACAGCAATTCTGGTAGAACATGTTACCCGTGATCTCACGTCATGCCCCGCACAGAGGAACTCGACTGTTACGAGGGTAAAATGCAGGTGCTTGTACGCTGCAGATAACACAACAGTCTTTTCTGTCTCACCTTCACAGAACAGCATTGGACGGTTTCCAAGTGCATGAAAAAACTAACAAGAGGCTCTTTGTATGATGCGTGTGTGGTTTGTTCCACCTACAGTAGCCACCAAGTTTCCAGATGTCTCCACTGCGACACACTGTTTCCACTATGGCTGCCAGCACACGCACAAACATACACTGATGTCATTGATGGTAAAGGATGGCGTTTTTTCAGAGTTGGGGGTAGAACATGTAAATGCTGCAGATCTGCAGAGAACCAAAGGGGAGGATGACTTTTCTTCATTCCCGTTCTTCCTTTTTTTTTTTACTCTTAACTTCCCTCAGTACATACAAAATGATTTTATACGTGCTTCTATAATCAAACACCAAAACTATAACTTCACCACACATTAAATGTATTATTTAAACTCGTGCATTTTCCTCTTATATTTCACCATTTAAAAATTACACAAACTAATGAAATCTTTCATTGGTGGCAAAACTCTATGCAGCAAAACGTTAGCATCTCATTAAGATTTTCTTTTCTTGGTTTCTAAA